ATACATACACATATACACATACACACACATTCTGTTGCATGTATATCACAATCATTTTATGAAAAGATAAAATGGGAACACCTTAACATTTAGGGCCCACTTAAAATGAAAAAATGTTCTTTTTTAATTTTTAAAAAATATATATATACAAAAAACTGACTTCTATTTTTTCATTAATATAGAAACAAAAATTGAAGAGATTTCTGAATCCCACACTAACGATCAAAGGACTCATATTCACGTCTCATCCAAACAGCAAGAATCACAAGTAGAAACTGATAAAGAAGGCTCTGTAATGGGAGAAGGTAAGCTTGGGCAATGGGGATGATTCCCACAAGAGACACTCATTGTGGGTTAGCTGGAGACCCGCCCCCCCCCCCCGGGGTTATGGCTGTCATTTTCTAAAGCACTATAACTTACAATCCTTTCTTTATTCTTTGTCACTTCTTCTCAAGGAAATTATACTCTGGCACAGAAATATGCAAACCCAGCTGATACACTTAGTTATTACCAATTAGTCGAGGTGAAATTTATATATTTTTTTCCTCAATAGAAGATAACTGGTTTAACATTTGACTTTATTACAGAGAGAACAGGAAAATAGAATATAGGCATATAACCTTTCCTTTAGCTGTTGCAAAGCTGCCAGTTTGGCAACATTATTAAATTTGGGAAAGAACAAGGTATAGTTGCCAAATACCAACTCTGAAAATTAGATTTCACATAGGACCCCCAAGGAATGAGAGGGCTTTGTTAAGCTCTGGTTTGTTGTTTAGGCATATTTTTTAGGAAAATGTTTTACTTGCCTACTTTGTGCATTATACCAGATGATCTTACTTGTTCTATTGTTACATTGCCTTTAGAATTGGTGCCAAACACAGAAAGATAAACATTTGCCTCAAACCAATGCTTTGTCCTTGTCTTACCTATGACACAGAAAACAGGAAGCCAGTGGGTCTGAACACAGACGGGTTTGCTAAGTATGAATATGACATATGAAAAATATTTACAGAATTTCCTTGAATCTAAAACATTTTGAAACATATGCTGTCGGTAGAAGAATATTCCTTTTTCTTTTTTTTTTTTCCCCTAAATAAAAATCAATGATCATGACATTTTCTACATGAAAAGGAATACCCACCTACCAGCCTTACTGGTTCTGAGTGCATAATTAACAACTGATAGCAACCTATTATTCTGGCTCTAGCTAGTTACCTGAGCTCATGTGTGCGTGTGTATGTGTGTGTGTGTATTAGATTATTTACCTATTTATTTGTATTTTTTTCCCATGGAAGAAATGAATTTTTTTTTCTGTAATGTCTGATATTTTTTCCCAAGAATTTAGCCAACCATGCTGTCTCCTGGGCCTTCATCAAAAGATGGGAGGGTTGTGGAGCAAAGGGGAAACGGATATGCAAATGAAGAGTGGAAGTAGAAGGGAGCCTTCTCCTTCTAGATTCCACTGAAAGGGACTTTTATTTTGGTTTTCTAGAAGTCTCTTGTCCATATTATTCCATGGAAATTCAGGACAGGTGTTGGAAAGTATCATCTGAATCCAGCTCTGTGAAGAGCAGCATGTGCAGCCGCATTCTTCAGCAGAAGGCTGGAGTAATGTTCATCTTCCCACTAATCTAATGTGGCCATCTACATGAATCTCAGTTGCCCACTTAAATTAACTACATTAAACAGTCCACAATGCTTGGATGTTTTATTAAGGTACATTTTTTATGCAGTGGGTTATTAATAAATGATCAGGAATGAGACAAAAGGGACAGGGCTTCTGTACAAGAGTTTAGATTGGAGAGATGGGAGCATCAAAGAAGCCATTTTATTAGGACATCCAGGTTAAACATAGAAAGATGTGTTATCCGAATCTTCCCCCGAGGATCGTAGCAGATTTGTTTCCTTATCATTTAAGCTTTGTCCAAATCATTTCCAAGGCAAGTGATGAGGCATCTTCTGCTTTTCTTCGGAAATTATTACCAGCTACAAAACACCTAATTACTGCTAGCTTTAAATAAATTTGGTTTATTCCATCATTTCCATGGCACTTTAGTTTTCTTTTCCTCTGTGTTTTCAAACTTTTGACATTTGCTGATAAAGTGATTGGCTGTCTCATTGTTCAGCACTTTGCTTTTCACAAAGCAGTACCATAGCACTAAGATTACTTAGCTGTTGGAACTGAGCATTCCCACTGTCCTGTAGATTCAGGCTGTAAACTCACCATGTTATATAGCCTTTACCAAAAAATGAGTGATACAAAGATGTCAGTGAGTTGTGGTGGAGGAAGGAAGAAAAATCTATATCTCATGAATTGTTATCAGAGTTACTGATATATAAAGCCATCCAAGTCATCTTCCAAAATTCTCTCTCTTCGTGTTACTGCTACTCATAAGAGTTAATGAATTTCTGTTGTCAGCTGGAGAAGGAAGAGAAAGTGATGGTTAATAGCATGGATACCAGGAGTCAGAGAGACTTGCTTTGTGGCCTCAAGCAAGTCAACTAACCTCTCTATGCCCTTAGTTTCCTCATCAGTAAAATTGCCATAATAATATTGCCTGTACTTAGGGTTGTTATACAGATTAAATAAATTAAAATTAGTAAAGAGCACACAATTCCTGGCCCTGCAAAGATGGGCTCAAACATGGCTATGACTAGGAGGATGGCACAGGACTGAACAGTGTTTCTTTCTGTTGGACATACGGTTGCTGTCAGTTGAAACCAACTCAACGGCATCTCATAACAACAAAAACATGATTTATTTATTGTTGTTCTGTGGTTTAAGATTCAAAGTTTTCCAGGGTCTGATCCCATCTTTTCTTGAATCTCATCCTTCTGGCTTCTGCTTACACTTAGCCACACTAGTTCACTCATCCCTGGAATTGTCTAACATCTTCCTACCCATTTTCTTGCACAATTTCTTCCAATTGGATTGCTGTCATCATCTGTTAAAACCTCCTCAAGCTTTAAAGCACCAGTTGAAATGCCTTTTTTTTTTTTTTCTAAAGCCTTTACCAATCCTTCCCACATCAACCAAAATGAAGATTTTGCTCATCGGGTTCCAAAAATGTCCATCCATGACTATGGAACATATGTACTCCACTTATGGCCTTTAGAATTCATTATATAGATGTTTCTCTGTTCCTACAGGCTAGTGGTTCTCACCAGAGCTAATTCTGCCTCCCAGGTAGGGGACCAACTCATCCTGGTTTGCCTGGAACTGTCTCAATTTTAAAACTGAAAATCCTGTGTCTTAGGAACTCCCTTTGTCCCAGTCACACTGGAACACTTGGTCAGCTAGCCTCAGAGGACCTTTGGCAATGTCTGGAGACATTTTTGGTTGTCACTGTTTGGCATGGGGGTGTTACTGGCATCAAGTGAGCAGAGCTAATGTGATGTTAAGTATCTTATAATACACAGGACAATTTTCAACAATAAAAATTATCCGGCCCAAACTCTGGCTAAAATCATTATCTATCTTTGTAACATGCAGGTGAGAGCCTGCTAGAATGAATAAATACAATTAGATTTTAACTTCCAATAAATATTAAATAAGTATTTATCTCCTGAAATTTAATATCTTATTAGGCCTTCTCAGTATAGATACAAAGAGGTAATATCTGGTCCCTCATCCTTTATTAGCTTCTAATATGGTTGGGACACAAGCATAATATATTTGGGGAAATTAGAGAACAATTTCAGGCAGTAAACAATTAAATGTAAAGCAATCACAACAGACAATATGTATATGTATTTGAAGAGTAAAAATGGAAGAGAATGCTAAAGAATATCATTACCCTGGGTTACATGTTTAGCCCCTCTGGCTTCAAAATCTTATCACATCATTACAAATCCTGTTTTGCTATGGGCTAGGTTATCCAGCTTGCACAACTCAGGCTCATAGAAATGCCAGGGAGGGAGTTCAGCTTTAGTCTGTCAAAGCTCAATTTCTACGAGTTCTCCCCAGTTGCTCCCCTTGTTGCCTAATTTGGTTAATAGATCACACAATCTTGCACAATCTCTGAGGCTAGATACCTCAGAGTTATCTCTAACTTCTTTATCTCTACCATCCTGCCCTTTGCTTGCCAAATGTGATTGATTCTACTTCTGCAATGTGTTTGGGTTTCACCCTCACTGCACTTCCCCCTCTCCACTCCATTTCATGGACACAGCACCTTATATGTATCTATTCCTTACATGTATCTACTCCTCTTCCCCCCGCCCCACAAGCCAGAATTCCCCATGGCATAGGTCTCTCAATTTCAAAATATCCCCTCTAATGTATCCACACTTTCAAAGTCTTCCGTTCCTTCCAATCTCAGATCAGATACTTTTCCTTCTGGGATCCTTACTAAATCCCTTATCCAGATGTAGTAGTTCCCATCTCTCAACTTCTAAAATATTTTTCTCTTGATCACAAATGTTTTATATGTGACATAATTATCTGTGTTCATCCTATCTGGTCCTTTGGTTCTGCGTCTTTTCTAATCACTGTAGCACTTCTACCACAATGCTTTGCAGATATAAGACAATTGGTAACTACTTTTTGAGTGAACGAGCTATGCTTCCTTCCACTTCCTCTTTCCAAAGACCCCTAGATTCAGTCAGTTCTTAAATCTACTGAAAGAAACACCCCTCACCTCTTCTAAAAGAAATATAGAAAGTCTATCCAGAGTTCACAGGACCAACAACAGGGTAATAACTGCACATCTTTTGTATCCTGAAAAAGGGCAAAATATGACTTACTTTCTTCCAGAAATGCTCTCTGCTGCACCTCAGATTTTTCTCCCAGTTTCCTTTGTTTCTACAGGATGGCCATGTTGCAGGCCTCCGTGCTGCCTTCTCCAAATTATGCACTGGTCTCTGTCAGGCCTCTATCCACCTTTCTTTGTGAAATCCATGCCCCCAATGTTGGGAATAGAAAACCGACATGCAGAAAAAATAGCTAGCTATTATGTGACTATTAACATCAACTTCAGAGGTTTCTTGTCTCTACCACTTTAGAATCCTATCGAGTGTATGTGGTTTATTTTGGAATGTAAATTTTTTAAAAAAATAATATCAATTTAAGTTTTATAAGAACAAATCTATGAGAATTCCAGGGTGTAGGGAAGAGAAGGACATTATCAGGATGTGCTGTTAACAAGGGAAAGGCTTAAGAACTAGAAATGATCCCAAGTTCCCAGGAAAATGGGAGCTCTGATAGTATAGTACCTAAAGGCATTGGATTGGTAACCAGAAGGCTGGCAGTTCAAACCCACCAGCCACTCTTTGTTTTTTTTTAATTGTGATTTGGGCAAAGATT